CGGCTTTGAACGATTTGGAGAGTCAGTGATTAATAACCCATTCATAACTACAGCATTTTGCTTAGTTGCTGAATGAATGAATGAATGAATGAATGACGAGACGCCTGGCTCATTAAGACAGCGACTTGCCGCCACCTATTGGTTTTATTTTTAAATCTACAAGTATCACTTTGATTTGCACTTAATTAATAATACACTTAATGGAATGTTAAGAATATGACATAAAACATGACATACAATTAATAAGAATAGAAAATGTTTGCCTCTATAAAGGTAAAAAATGCACCTGTAAATCAATTTAAGGGGGCAAATATTGTCCTTTAATAGAAAAGGCATGACTGCGGTCTAAGTGGAAGAGAGGGGGAACGCAGAAGAATGCCCCAGGGGGTACGCCGCTGTAAAAAGTTTGAGAACCACTGCTCTACATGATCCCAGTCGAGGAATAAGGGTCTTATCTAGCGAAACAATCGAAGCGCTTATCTAGCAAAACAAACAATAAAAAAATAAAAATGTATATACTTTTTAACCACAAATGCTCATCTTGCATTAGCTCTGCAATGTGCGTCCACAAAGAATTACGTAGTTACGTTGAAAAGTTTATGTGTGACGTAGGCAGTATCGAAGTAGTACCGAACTCCATCTAAATGTTCTCCTCCAACTCCGAAATCGTCCAACATCGTTGTTTTACCTTTTTTTTGTAAAAGGTGTTTGATTTAGTCTTTGTGCGTTCACTTTATAAACACTGGGTCGGTACTTCCGCCTACTTCACGCGTGACCTTTCTAATGTGACTACGTAATGCGTGAAGTTGACATGAACATCTTGGATGACATGGGGGTGAGTAAATTATCAGGAAATTTTTATTCTGGAAGTGAACTAATCCTTTAACTTCCTGTCCCCCTTAAATCCCAAAGCAATTCCATTGGTTCAGACAAATTTTATGCGCTATTATATAGGCGCATTATTATATGCACTATAAATATTTTTACCCTGTATTCATGAAAATGTTAATGCCTTTTGAATGACATATTATATACATGTATCATGTTATATTACAGAAGCTAAAAAATGGTCAAATTAAAAATGTCGCTTTCTTAGTATTTTCAGTTAGCAAGCAAATTAGTTAGTCTCCTAGCTCAAGATAGCACATTTAAACAGGCTTTGAGGAAGGGGGATAGGATTCTCCTCTGGATCGTATATTGTAGGGCGTAGAGAAGAGAAATACTGTATATTTTAAAAAGCGTTATATCTGCTAAAAGTGAACAAACTTTACAAAAAATACAACATCCTATACTGTAGATGGCTTTAAAGCTAATAAATGCCACAAAACTCCAATATTCATGGGATCTTAAAGCCAGTACTGGAAACATTTGTAATAACAAAGGTTTGAAGATCATGGACAAATGAAAACGTACTGAAATATAATAAATTATTTAATCTTTTTGATATTTAATGTTTGTATTATTCCAAGGGTGGTCTGCATTTGCCCTGGTTCTGACATTACATTAGTGCTGTTTTAGACGTGTGTTCAAAACTGTAACAGAAATGTGTTTTCTTTTTGTTCTTTATTGTTCTAAAATTCTTTAGAATTATGGCTTGTTGTTTCAACCCTGTATTTGTTTTCAAAGTTGAATTTGTTTCACTTGGCAACTATTGAAGCAGGTATAAAGTGAAATGAAACTCTTGAGCTATGCTGAATGCTGGACAAAAGTCCAGTCTCATTCTGGCCAACATGCAGCTCTTTATTCAGTGTTGATTTCAATAATCAAAGAAATTCAAACCTATAATCAGTTATATATTTTATTTCATTTTTTTCTAAACATTTACCATTCACAGTAAATAGTTAAACAGCTTAATAGATTATTTCATTTCATATGTCTTGAATAATTGTAAAATGTATGTAAAACATGTATTTAATAATCTAATTTCATCTAATCAAGACACTGATGTGTGATATAGAGGTCAGACAGGTCTGTGCTACTATAGTCTCAGCCTCAGACATCACGCCCACGGACCGTTGGCTAAACGTCTGATGCATATGGGACACAAAAGTGGAAACACTTCAGGAGTGTCGAAGTCGTCATCGGATTGGATGAATTCTACAGGATTTCCGGGAGACGTGCGTGTCGCGTTCTTTAACGTTCCGTCTGGAAACAAAGATACCGTGGCGCCAAACCCCCTCACGAAAGAAGGGGCGCTTATCAGGATCAACTAAATGCTGGAGTTTCAAAAGTATGTGAAATATTTAAAGTTCGCGGCATAGAATCTTTGGTTGTTTTGTCGGTCAAACGGCCTCATGGGCGGGCCTTGGCCAATGAAAGCTGCCATGGATTCCAGACCTTCAGCCGTCAGTCTGAAGGTCTGGCTACGCGAGACTAGTGCTACTATAACTCAACAGATGACCAGAGGGTGTAAATGCCCATCAGAAATGACTCTTCATAAGTGCATGAGTTTGAGTCAGATCTTCATCCATACAACCTCTGGGGGAGCTGTCTATCTGTGGAGCCAACCTATAGCAACACATTAAAGGCCTAAAGTCAGTGACATTGTCTTTACACATACTATTTACTATAGACTAATGGAGTTAATGTCCTACATACCCTGAAATTATATTTGTTTCGTGTTCCCTTTAGTACGAGTCTCATAGTAATACAGTAGCTTCCCATTTTTATATTTTACAGATAAGTAAAATCACCCATTCAGGCCAAAATTTGCACTGGAAATGAACAGACCTCCTCCATGCCAAACTGAGGGCCTGGAACATTATTTTGGCCATCATTCTAAATGGAAGAATAAATTCTAAGTCTGGCACAAACACGAACGAGTATTACTTTTCAGGAACTGGAACTTCTTATCAGGATGGCAAGGAAGCAAGTCAAGCAGTTTAACATACTAGAAAGACAAAACATCAAATACCTTTTTCTCCAGGAATGCTAAGAATGAGCAGAGACGGCAGCCAGAATCTGTGGAACTGATGGTCTGTCCACAGGGCTTTTACACCGGTAGGAAAATATCACTTTACCACCCTGGTCCAGACCAAAATCACCACCCATCTGAGAGAGACAGAGGGAGAGGGCTTTTAATCCATTTTCAAGAGTCCTAGACTGCAGGGAGACAAATGTTTATTCTATCACTGAGTATTATGCAATGTTTGGAGTTTGTTTTTATGGATTTGGCACATTCCACAAATAGCATGAATCTCTTAAAACCATTTTTCTCCTCATTCAACAAATCGTCATTCAGAAAATCCTGATGGTTTACCTCAGGATGTCAAACGAAGTACTATATCAGCTGTTTTTTTCTTTCTATTGATTTTACACGAGCTTTATAATTTCTTCAACCTTTGGGATTAAATGCATTATCTAAATGCAGCTTAGATCATAATGTTTTTTTTTTGTTTTGTTTTTATCTAAATGCAGTTTAAGCCCTGATTTATGTGAATGCATTTTCTGGCAATAAATGTTACATAGACAAAATGTAAAGAAACTATATCAGAATTATTTACCTAGCTACTTGTCTTGGCCATGCTGTAGAAAGGGTTCAAATGATGTTATTTCTTAGCTGTGACAATTTTAAAGAATGTAATATTTTTTAACAGGGTAAAATCATACAGTAGCAGGCAGTAGGACACTTATGTTTTTGTTAGTTAAGATTTAATAATTAAAAACAGCTTTTTAAAACAATGAATTGAATATTTATTTGACACAGGTGAGAAGGTAAACACCTTTGGGCCAAAATCGGACAACAAAGTATATCCTATTTGTGGAAAGATACATTAATATGTCTCAATTCTACTGTATAACTAGACCAAGCCTGCAAAATACAGTTTTGTTGTGTGATCTGAGCTGAAGTGAAATGTATGATGCTATCATTGTGTAACTGGCCCTATATGCAGTCTGACATTCTTCTTTTTACTGCCCTTATGTCAGAAAATCTGGGTAATAACAAACTCATGGAAAGAAATGCAACTCATTTCCCAAGTCAGAGTTTTATTCATTTGTTCTGTGTGTGATATTTGGAATAAGGATAATGGAGTGTCACCTGAAAGAGATCATCGAGGAACTGAGGTGGCACATCGGGTAACTGTCGGTTCATCACCAGAATTTCAGAGTAGTGGAGCATTAACTTAAACTTCATCACCTTGCTGACAGATGAACCCAGACCACACCTGTGACCCGTCATAAACAGACCAATCAGCACACATCTACACATATGATCAGTATTAAACTACTGTCACGGTCAAGTATATGGAGTCTTATTAATTTGACATTAATTTGTTCCCTCATTTTAGTTATTTGTGGAAAAAATAATAAATTGTGGTTATTAATTATTTTTTGACTGATTGATTGATTGCATGTCATGTGGGGCTCAATTGCAACATAATTCAGACAATTATGAACAAAATAAGACATACCAGCAAGATAATTACATTTATATTTTATACTGAGGAAAAATGTCTTAAATGCTTAATAAGAGAATATTTTTTTAAGCCATTAACATTAATGACCTTATATGGAAGACCATTTCTGCCAATGAATGAAAAAAATAAACAAAGTAAAATAAAGAGTTAATGCGACTTCTTATTTCACAATTCTGACTTTCTTCTCAGAATTGCATAATATAAACTTGCAATTCTGACTTTTTTCTCAGAATTGCATAATATAAACTTGCAATTCTGACTTTTTTCTCAGAATTGAGAGATGTAAACTCGCAATTATGAGTTATACAGTCATAACTGCAAGATATAAACTCACAATTCTGACTTTTTTCTTAGAATTGTGTGATATAAATGCGCAATTGCGAGAAATAAAGTCAGAATTGCCATTTAAACTTTTTTTAAACTTTTTTCGCAATTCTGACATTTTTGCGCAATTTGCCATTTTTGCGAGTCCAATTCTGAGAAAAAGACGGCCTATTTTCTTAAAATTGCAAGTTTATATCTCAGAATTCTGACTTTATAACTTGCAATTGCATGTGAAAAAGTCAGAATTGCCATTTAAACTCTTTTTAAACTTTTCTCGCAATTCTGACATTTTTTCGCAATTTGCAATTTTAACATGCAATTGCAAGTTTATATCATACAATTCTAAAAGAAAAAGTCGGAGTTGTGAGATGTAAACTACTATTCAGTAGCTTCCATAACCTTAGGATTAAGCAAAGCATGGCTAATTATGTTTTTGCACAGTCGATAGTCCTCACCGCTCTCTCTGCATCCAACAGCATGTCAAATTCATAGCCTGTCTGATCAAGCCAGAATGTGGCCCCTTCAAGAGAACCGTACGAGACCACCAGCACCCGCAATGACTGGGCTTCCAGAAGCTTCTGTATGAGAAAGAGGCAGAAACAGAAAGTGTTGATGATTCTGTAAGGATAAAATAAACTCAGATGCTTTGATCTCCTGAGAAACAGACAATACACTGGCATCTTCAAGCTGTTATATTATTTCTTCTAAATTTCAATTTGTTGCCTCATTCAAAAACTTAACTGGAATTTCAATTTACAAAACAATGAACATTAACTGTATATAGAGATAAGTTTTATTACAGCTATAGGTCTGCTCTGACTTTAGTTTTCATCTCCTTTAATGGCAGGTTGTCTTACCTTGCCGTTCTTCAGCTCAGTCAGGTGGTCTCGTCATGGCTGTCATCCAAAATGCCGGAGCAACACAAGGAGGAGATTCTCTCCCTTCCCCAAGTACTGACCCAGAGACACATTCCTACAGGAGCACAGGAGAACCACAATGTACGCTGCAGTTCACACATGCCGTATCAATTTGTGAGCTGGAATTTGAACTGAAATAGCCACAATCCACAGGATATTACATTGAATTTGAATTGGAATTACAAGAAGAGGAATTTAGTGCAATTCAAATAAACATACATACATTATATTATATATACAGTATACATGCATTATATTATTTTCAACATTTCTAGAAATATTGCATTAAATACCGTTATATTATTTCTTCTAAATTTAAATTTGTTGCCTCATTCAAAAACTTAACTGGAATTTCAATTTACAAAACAATGAACATTAACTGTATATAGAGATAAGTTTTATTACAGCTATAACCTATGGGTTGTCCATTACAACAAAAAAATGCATGGTTAAATTTCAACCAGGTAACAAAGCAATCACTCTCACAAAGCACGACATGCTAGAAACTGATTTTAAGCTACTATCCAAAACCGGCAAAACAACTGTAAACCTCTAAACATTTAAAAACATCTTATAGACTTTGAATATACGGTATAACTCGATAAGTGAGACACTGATGTAATCACAGTCATAATGTAGAGTGATAAACTGTTGCAACTGCAGGCCTTCATTTTGTTTCAACAGACATACTCTGTCAGCAGTTCTGGATTGTGGCTTGCACTGAATATGGATAGTAATGATATTATGTGTTTATCTCACTCTTTAGTCTGGACGTGTATAAACTGTGTATCTGAGCTGAGCGTCTGGGCTGCAGGACACTGGGAAAGAACGGTGTCGCTCATTTGCATCTGAACATCCAGACGTCTCAAAAAACTATCCCACTCCACCTGTCAATCAAACAAACCTCCATTCAGCACACTAAACTACTCAAACACACTTCATATATTACCTACTAACATAAAAACATATTTGAAAACAAGCAATCTCTGGAGCCCCTAAGGGGACATGGTGATTGAAAAAATATGAGATAAGAGGAAAAAATATAATTTAATTGTTTTGCGTTCCTCCCAAGAAACTTTCCATTCTCTCGCAAAAGCACTGAAATACAGTTTTTCTTCCCAAGTCCCAACTCATATTATTTCCATTAAAAAATTGCTAAGTTTCTTGTGGGAATGCAAAATAATTTTGTGAGAGAATGCAAAAGAATTGTAATATAATTTTCTCTCATTGATTTTTTTTTTTTTTTTTAAATACCATGCTCATGTCCTGTTAGGAGCTTCATAGCAGTCACATGAGAAATTAAAACAAATTATATTGCTTACTTCCAGTTGTAGTAAGCCTTTGCAACTGCAGGCCTTCATTTTGTTTCAACAGACATACTCTGTCAGCAGTTCTGGATTGTGGCTTGCACTGAATATGGATAGTAATGATATTATGTGTTTATCTCACTCTTTAGTCTGGACGTGTATAAACTGTGTATCTGAGCTGAGCGTCTGGGCTGCAGGACACTGGGAAAGAACGGTGTCGCTCATTTGCATCTGAACATCCAGACGTCTCAAAAAACTATCCCACTCCACCTGTCAATCAAACAAACCTCCATTCAGCACACTAAACTACTCTAACACACTTCATATATTACCTACTAACATAAAAACATTAAAACAATATGTCATTTGAAAACAAGCTATCTGTGGAGCCCCTAAGGGGACATGGTGATTGAAAAAATATGAGATAAGAGGAAAAAATATAATTTAATTGTTTTGCGTTCCTCCCAAGAAACTCTCGCAAATCTCGCAAAAGCACTGAAATACAGTTTTTCTTCCCAAGTCCCAACTCATATTATTTCCATAAAAAAATTGCTAAGTTTCTTGTGGGAATGCAAAATAATTTTGTGAGAGAATGCAAAAGAATTGTAATATAATTTTCTCTCATTGATTTTTTTTTTTTTTTTTAAATACCATGCTCATGTCCTGTTAGGAGCTTCATAGCAGTCACATGAGCGTGAGGCACCCTGAGCGACATAGATTCCTAATGAACGAGTAAATATAAGTAAAGAGTTAACTAGAATAATCAAATGTCAGAATAATTAGAGACCGACAAACAACCAATTTGCCTTTCAGCCTAAATTCGAGGTCATACTAAAATGGAGTCAGATTAGATAATAAAATGGAGTCAGATTTGAGTTAAACCTAAATTGAATAACTCTGCGCGCTGAGAAGACTGAACACGCAAGTAACCTTCATCCACCACTGGATACCTTCCTTGGGCCAAGTGCGTGGACCTTACAAAGTTGATTCAAAGAACACAGCGATGCTGACTTTGGAACATTTGCTACAAAAAAGCAGCACAACATTTTGCCTTGCCAAGTCGACAAGTTTTCGAAAGATATTTTCCAAGCAACTGTCCAGAATCAGAAATGGCTGAGGTCTGCTCTGACTTTAGTTTTCATCTCCTTTAATGGCAGGTTGTCTTACCTTGCCGTTCTTCAGCTCAGTCAGGTGGTCTCGTCATGGCTGTCATCCAAAATGCCGGAGCAACACAAGGAGGAGATTCTCTCCCTTCCCCAAGTACTGACCCAGAGACACATTCCTACAGGAGCACAGGAGAACCACAATGTACGCTGCAGTTCACACATGCCGTATCAATTTGTGAGCTGGAATTTGAACTGAAATAGCCACAATCCACAGGATATTACATTGAATTTGAATTGGAATTACAAGAAGAGGAATTTAGTGCAATTCAAATAAACATACATACATTATATTATATATACAGTATACATGCATTATATTATTTTCAACATTTCTAGAAATATTGCATTAAATACCCTGTTATATTATTTCTTCTAAATTTCAATTTGTTGCCTCATTCAAAAACTTAACTGGAATTTCAATTTACAAAACAATGAACATTAACTGTATATAGAGATAAGTTTTATTACAGCTATAACCTATGGGTTGTCCATTACAACAAAAAAATGCATGGTTAAATTTCAACCAGGTAACAAAGCAATCACTCTCACAAAGCACGACATGCTAGAAACTGATTTTAAGCTACTATCCAAAACCGGCAAAACAACTGTAAACCTCTAAACATTTAAAAACATCTTATAGACTTTGAATATACGGTATAACTCGATAAGTGAGACACTGATGTAATCACAGTCATAATGTAGAGTGATAAACTGTTGCAACTGCAGGCCTTCATTTTGTTTCAACAGACATACTCTGTCAGCAGTTCTGGATTGTGGCTTGCACTGAATATGGATAGTAATGATATTATGTGTTTATCTCACTCTTTAGTCTGGACGTGTATAAACTGTGTATCTGAGCTGAGCGTCTGGGCTGCAGGACACTGGGAAAGAACGGTGTCGCTCATTTGCATCTGAACATCCAGACGTCTCAAAAAACTATCCCACTCCACCTGTCAATCAAACAAACCTCCATTCAGCACACTAAACTACTCTAACACACTTCATATATTACCTACTAACATAAAAACATTAAAACAATATGTCATTTGAAAACAAGCTATCTGTGGAGCCCCTAAGGGGACATGGTGATTGAAAAAATATGAGATAAGAGGAAAAAATATAATTTAATTGTTTTGCGTTCCTCCCAAGAAACTTTCCATTCTCTCGCAAAAGCACTGAAATACAGTTTTTCTTCCCAAGTCCCAACTCATATTATTTCCATAAAAAAATTGCTAAGTTTCTTGTGGGAATGCAAAATAATTTTGTGAGAGAATGCAAAAGAATTGTAATATAATTTTCTCTCATCGATTTTTTTTTTTTTTTTTTTAAATACCATGCTCATGTCCTGTTAGGAGTTTCATAGCAGTCACATTAAAAATTAAAACAAATGATATTGCTTACTTCCAGTTGTAGTAAGCCTTCAACATTATCTCGAACATCAGTGTTTCTGTTAAATTGGGAATCAAATAACAGTATTATCATCAATATACTAACATCACATTTGGTATTCAGTATGTTATGGATAAAGTACAGGCAAAAATGTAGATTTTTATTTTTATGTTTTTTTCATTTTTTTAATAATTACCAACTGACTATACATTATTTACATATGTGACTGTTTATTACATTGCTACTTACCAAATAAAAAATTTCATTTTTGCCTGGTACGACATCATTCAAACAGTTTATTATGCAAAATATTAGACCACTGAATGCCACAACCAACAACAATCAACTATTCCAAAGAATAGTTCCATACTCACTGAAAAAACTGTTCCCATAAATTTTCTGCTTCCTTTTGGTTTTTCACACCCAGACTGAAAGAAAACATATCCATGTCATGGAATGTTTATCATTTTGTAGCACAACAAAATTATTCAAATACGCACCATGGCAATGTTTAAAGGGATAGTTCACCCAAAAATGAAAATTCTGTCATTAATTACTCACCCTCGTGTTGTTCCAAACCCGTAAGACCTTCGTTCATCTTCGGAACACAATTTAAGATATTTTTGATGGAATCTGAGAGCTGTCTGACGCTGCATAGACAGCAACACAACTGAAATGTTCCCAAATTCAGAAACGTAGTAAGGACATCGGTAAAATAATCCATGTGACATCATACGTCCAGCGGATATTCTCCAAAATGGCGCTACAGGGTGGAGGAGACGAATTGTTGAATAAAGTCGTAATTTTTTTTTCTTTCGCGCACAAAAAGTATTCTCGTAGTTTCGTATAATTACGGATGAACCCCTGATGTCACATGGATTATTTTACCGATGTCCTTACTATGTTTCTGGACTTGGGAACATTTCAGTTGCGTTGCTGTCTATGCAGGGTCAGACAGCTCTCAGATTCCATCAAAAATATCTTAATTTGTGTTCCGAAGATGAACGAAGGTCTTACGGGTTTGAACCGACATGAGGGTGAGTAATAATGACAGAATTTTTGGGTGAACTAACCCTTTAAAGATAAATATACACACCTGTTAAAGAACTTGGCACCAGCTGACATCAGACCAAATAAAGGACGAATTTTCTTATCGACAATTTCTTGCAAAGAACCACCTAAACAAAGGCAGTAAATGCAAAACAGAAACATTTTTCATACACTCGGATTTTGAACCCTACATACATAAATACATAACACATACATTTGCGCACCAACAAGAGGTACAATCGCAGATTGTTTAGGATACCTTTGGCGACGTCCTTTTCTACATTTTCTAAAGATTTTGTACCAAATCTGATCAGTTCTTTCAAAGCCTCTATGAGTGTGTCTAGGCCCACTTCAGTAGCCATGCTGATTGATCGCTGAGCTTACAGTGAGTTACTCACACTGCACTGATCACCTGTCATCAGCAGACCAGATGATCTGGCGATTACGGAAACTAAACGGTGATTGGTTAAGCCTCAAATGCGCTGTGAAAAGTAACAGGCACCACGTGTCATCACCTCAGCTTTTTCAGCAGCAGCACGTTTGGGCAATAATAATTCACTTCTGAATAATGACAGTTAGAAACTTGAATAGAAATTGAATTGAAAATACACAGTGACTAATTTAAATAATAAAAAAGGTTACTTTGACTCGTTACATCTGACCAGTAAGTGACAGCTTCCGGGACGTCGTCTAGTGGCTCACTGTAGTACTGCATACTACAAGCCGGCTTGTCTATCCTGTTCAGTAAATATAGTAAAAATTAAAATATATAGAATAAATAAATAAATAATAATAAATACATTTATTTCTATATTTTTTTATTTTTGGTACACAAAAAAGGAGCTCAAAAGGGGATTCAAATACAACAACAGTGGTTTCATTCAACTGCTTTTATTGACTGTGGCTGTTCCACAGATTTTCCACTTTCAAGTTTTTTTGTGCGTTAAAGAACTCGCCTTTATTTTCCCTCATGGAAAATAGCCACAGTTTTTCTTAATTATTTTTCACAGGAAAATAAAGGAAATAAGTCTTTGCCAAAAAGCACCAACCATGACATGAAGAAGAAAACTGAAAATCTACTTAAAATGGACCCTTAAGATCAAATAAAATCAAAGATGCATAAGATTAACGAAATATAAGACTTTTTTTGCTTTAAGTCAACTATAGATTGAGGCGCAACTGTTCCCAATGTTTAAGGTCTCATGAACACCTCCAGAATCTGAGCGCACAATATTCAGTTGAGCCATTAAATAGAGACAACAAAAATGATAAAGAAGCCAGTGTGGACAGTGAACATGGCAATATTAACAACTTCTCTTTCAAACAAACAAAAACATTTGCAAACATATTTCCCCACTGTGTTCAAGTATTCAGAAAGGAACTCAGAGCTGAAGAACACTGCTTAATAAACTCTTCAAAGGACATCTCCGCAACAAGTCACCGATTTGATTCTAAAACCAAAAAGGTCCATGAAAAGCAACTGATGAATAATAACTTAATAAAGATTTTCAATTAGATTCCGCTACATTTTCCCCTGTTTTTTTCCTAACTCAGATTATGCTTGCAATTGCTGAACTTTAGTGACATAATAAAGGGCAACCCAAATTTATATTTAATTTAAAATTTAAATAAAGAGTCAACTCTCTTCTCCATATTTGTGGAAATATAAAAGCTAAAATCAAAGAGAATTTGTTCTGATATTCGATATGTAAAAACCATGTAAAAGTGAGGACTGTGAGCAAAGATGCCCTGAGTAGAGACGGCCCTTTGTGTTTTGAATATATTGATGGTATTTCAAGTTCAGGATTTCTTGGGACAGTGCGAAGACGAGTCTGTGTTAAGAACTTCAATCATGGTCCTCGTTAACTGGAACGTCTCTGAAACCGATGGGAGGTTCTGGTACCAACTCGGCAAACTAGTTACAGAGAGAGAAAGAATAAAGTGTTAGTGGTTTTCGAATATGAGCATTCATGGGATGCTTGCCTAGGACTCAAAACAAGGACTCAATACATTAAAGTTGTACCTCTTTAAGTTCATCCAACTCTTGACGGTCTTGCTGAAGCGATCAGGGCTGGCTGTAGTCATGGCCTCGAAATCAAACAGCTGGTAGACAAACCAGAAAGAGTAAAGTATTACAATAGACACTTATAAAGTGTCATGTGTCTCGTTAAATCATTGATGTCGTTACCTTTCCAGATGGGATTCGGCCCAGCACCTCTTTCCCGCTGGCCATCAGAGCTCCCATGACCACAGAGTACGCCACAACACTGAAAGAATAACAGCGATTTAAAAAAGCTCAAGAAACATAAATTAAACACGGTTTAATAAAAAAATCTGCCGTCACTGAAAACTTAATGTTGCTTAATCCGTATGTTCAAGAAACTGACTATGAGTGTTAAAAAAGACAAATGTGCAATTATTTAATTCACTTTTTAAAAATACAGTTCAAAACAACCAAATTATAAATTCATGCATTTTGAAATACTTGTTTAAATAGTATTTTTAAAATGAAAGATCAACGACAGTAGATTTTACAGATACTAATAACTAAGGTGGGAAAGGCCAATAACCAATTAACCGGCCAACAGTTCTTTAAATGAATAATATGGTTAGAAACTTTCCACTTAAAGGGGTAGTTCACCCAAAAATGAAAATTCTGTCATTAATTATTCACCCTCATGTCGTTCTAAACCCGTAAGACTTTCGTTCATCTTCGGAACACAAATTAAGATATTTTTGATTAATTCTGAGAGCTCTCTGACCCTCCCATAGACAGCAAGGGTCCTACCACGATCAAGGCTCAGAAACGTAGTAAGGACATCGTTAAAATAATCCATGTGACATCAGGGGTTCAACCGTAATTTTACGAAGCTACGAAAATACGTTTTGTATGCAAAGAAAACAAAAACAACGACTTTATTCAACAATTCGTCACCACCCTATAGTGCCATTTTGGAGATTATCACATACGTAAACAACGTATGCAACATATGTACGGCGATACGTTGTTTACATTCAAATCAAAACGTAAACAACGTAAACAGTGTATCGGCGTACATACGTTGCATATGTTGTTTACGTATGTGATAATCACCAAAATTTAATTACATTAAGTCATTTAGCAGATGCTTTTATCCAAAGCGACTTACAAATGAGGACAATGGAAGCAATCAAAATCAACAAAACAGCAATGATATGCAAGTGCTATAACAAGTCTCAGCTTAACGCAGTACACATAGCAAGGTTTTTTAAAAATTATATAATAAATAAAAAGAAAACCGATAGAATAGAAAAAGAATAGAGCAAGCAAATGTTAGAGGCCCCTTTTTTTTGCTTTTTGTTAATTGTATATTAAATAAAGAGAAAACAAATAGATAGAATACAAAAAGAATAGAGAAGCTAGTGTTTTTTAAGAATAGAAAAAGAAAACCGATAGAATACAAAAGGATTAGAAAAGCTAGTGTTTTTTGTTTTTTTTTTAAAGTAAAGAAGCAGTAAATGAAGAGTGCAAGTCTAAAAGGGACAAGTTTTTTTTTTTTTTTTTTTAAAGGGATCCCTATTATGCTTTTTCACTTTTTAAATTTAGTCAGTGTGTAGTGTGTATGTTTGGGCATAAAAAAGATCTAGAAATTTACAAATCTCAAAGTCCACTCCAAAGGGAGATATTTCGTTTTTAAAAAATCCCTTTTCAAGAACTACAACGACGTAAAGGTTTGATAGAACTGGTTAGAAGACCTGCCAAGAGAGCATTGCAATAGTCCAGCCTGG